TTTTTAGGCTACCTTCAAAACTAGAATTTAAGTAGATTGACTTTTGGAGAGAGAGGTTGAATTTCTAATTTATTATACGATTAATAAATTGGAATAAATAGTTTATTAATATATTATATGATTAATATATTAATAGGAAATAATAATTATTAATTTGGAATTAATCAGAAATTAATTGGAATTAATTGAATTAATTAAAAATGCAGGGGCTATTCGGTTATTTATTGAAAGTTCTAGAACCCCATGAGATGGGGGTGAACGAAATTTGGCTAGTAATGACCTAGAAATGTCGTTCTTGAGGCTTAGGATAAAGAGATAAGACAGTTTGATTATTATATTAATTAATCTCGGCCTTATCCCAAAAACCCTAGCTTTGACCTCAAGTTTCCTACAGCTATATAAACCCCTCCTTGGCTCTTATTATTTCGTTCACTTCTTCTTGTCTTCATAGAGCCGAAATTTTTCTCAAGCCTCCTCTCTCCTCAAGTATTCTTGATACTTGGGTTTTGGGTACAAGCCATTAGAGGCATCTATTCCTTCGGTGCTAGCTTCCAATATCTAGAAGAAGGATTCTACTTTGATTATTTACAACAATAATAAAAAGGTATGTAACCCTAATTTTGTATGAATTTCGATTTCATAGTCTCTCTCCTAGGGTTTCTTGATATTCATAGTTAGTTGTCATCAATAGAGAAAACATAAATCCTTTTTAGGTATGGGTTACGATGTCTGGTGGGGTCAGACAGACAGTTATGGGGGAGGCTCACAAGTCTCACTTCTCTATTCAACCGGGGGCCACCACGATGTATCGGGACTTGAGTTTGAGTTACTGGTGACCGTGCATGAAGCGAGAAATCGCTTGGTATGTCGAGAGGTGCTTGACCTGTAGGATGGTCAAGGCCGAGCATCAGAGGCCGCATGGCAAGCTGCAGCCCCTGGAGATTCCCATGTGGAAATGGGAACAAATCACGATGGATTTCATTACCAAGTTGCCGAGGTCGGCAAATGGGTTTGATGCTATATGGGTCATCGTGGATCGATTGACCAAGAGTGCCCATATCTTGGCCATACGGGAGAGTTCATCGTCCGAGAAGTTGGCCGACGTGTATGTCCGCGAGATCGTTGCTCGTCACAGAGTTCCAGTCTCCATTGTTTCCGATCGAGATGTTAGATTTACCTCCCGATTCTGGCAGAAGTTCCACGAGGAACTGGGCACGCGACTGCATTTTAGCACAACATATCATCCGCAGACCGACGGTCAGAGTGAGCGAACCATATAGACCCTCGAGGACATGTTGAGGGCTTGTGTCATCGATTTTGGTGGGAGCTGGTATTCCCATCTACCCCTTGCGGAGTTCACCTACAACAACAGCTACCATTCCAGCATTGGCGCCCCGCCTTTTGAGCTGTTGTACGGGCGAAGATGTCGCACCCCGGTCTGTTGGGGTGAGGTTGGTCACATAGTGATGGGACGGACAGAGGTAGTCTTGCAAACTACCAAGAAGATTCAGCAAATTAGACAGCGAATGCAGACCGCTCAGAGTCGGCAGAAGAGTTACGCCGACAGACGCTGATTTGAGTTGGAGTTCCAGGTAGGTGACATGGTGTTACTGAAGTTTTCACCCTGGAATGGTGTGATTCGCTTCAGGAAGAGGGGAAATTTGGGTCCCCGATACATTGGACCATTTCGGGTTATCGCCAGGGTTGGCAAGGTTGCATACAGACTGGATTTTCCGAAGGAGCTCAGTCAGATACACAACACTTTTCACGTTTCGCAATTGCGAACACGCATTATGGATCAGAAGGCAGTAGTATCGTTGGATGATATTCAGGTCTATGAGCGCCTGAATTATGTGGAGAGGCCTGTGGCCATTCTGGAGAGGAAGATGAAGGTTCTACGGAACAAGGAGATACCTTTGGTAAAGGTACAGTGGGAGCATCGGAGAGGATCCGAGTGGACTTGGGAGCCCGTGTCCGAGATGCGGGAGCATTACCCGGATCTATTTACCGCAGCAGACTTCGAGGACGAAGTCTAGGTCAAGTGGGGGAGAATTGTAACATCCCGAGATTTTTGCAGGTATTTCCAAACCCTCTTCTATCATTACTTTGTCATTTGTAGGAAGTGTAGAGCCAAGGTAAGTATAAGGTCCAAGGTTGCAACCTTGGGTCAAGAAGGAGTACGCTGAGCGTACATAAGAGTACGCTAAGCGTACTAAGGTCCGCCTTAGTACGCTGGGTGTACACTTGTGTACGTTGGGCGTACTTATATCAGGATGAAACCCTAATATTTAGGGTTTGGGGGCTATATAAGCAACATTATGAGCACCTAACCCTCCCTTACCTCAGCCTCCACTGCTTAGAGTCGTTTTCCCCAAACCCTAGCCATTCCCTTGAGTGTGTGAGCTTATTGAGTGTTTCTTAAGTGTTTTAAGAAGAAGGTGTTGCATCAAGGAGTGGGAGAAGAAGATCAAGCTTGTAGATTCGAAGTTAGTTTGTGCCCTAGAAGCTCCAGAAGGTAAAAAGCTTCAAACTTTATGCATATGTGTACAGATCTTGCCATTTTGCCTTAAATAACCATTTCTTGTCCCAAAAAGTCTGAAGATGGTGCATGATATGATTTAGACGAAATGAACTGTCCTTCTAGACTGTTGAAGGAGTTTTGAGTGATAAAAAAGAGTCCCAATGGCTTAAGATGTCCCATGCATGGAGTAGGAAGATCTTAATGGATTAAGACCAAGTATTAAGAGCTTTCTGGACGTCCAAAGTGATAAAATTCGTGACTTTATGGGACCTAGGCACATTTGGTCACTGGATTTTGAAGTTTGGGCTTAAGTGCTTAAGCCATTAAGCACTTATTAAGATTTTGGCAAAACGCTACGTACACCCAACGTAAATCCAGTACGCCCAACGTACTGGGTCAACCACCCCGATGGTGGTCAACATCAGAATGAGTACGCCCAACGTACCAGAGGAATATGCCCCGCTTACGTCCTCTGTTGGGCTTTTGACATTTGGGCTTCGGGTTTTTGGGATGTTTATGGACTAGTTGGAATTGGGCCTTTGCTATACTTTATGAATATGAAGTTTTGGGCCAAGTTTTGATAATGGATCTTGGAATTAGGCCCAATTAGGGAGTTGGGCCCAATTTGGTAAATTGGGCCAATAATGGGCTTTGCATAAGGACTTTCAAAGTTATGGACTTGACATTGGGCCTTGGCCCAATAAAGAGAATGGACATGATGGATTGTGTGAACCCTTAGTCAAGACTGTTATGTGGTGTATTGACTTGGTATTTATTATGTGATAGTTCGGGATTTCCGGTGAGACAGCAATCAGAGGTTTTCGGTACATCAGCACTACTTGCGAGTTGAGTTATTCTCACTACACTAAGGGGTCCAAGGCACCAAGGCCGGCCCATTGGATTTGATATCCCAGTAGTTGATTACATGTTGAGTATGAGCTGATTATACATGCTAGTTGCTATGCCAGTTAGGTACATCTGTAGGACTACCTGTGTTATTGTTTGATTATCTGTATGTGCAAGTAACTAAGTATGTAGACATGTTGTGTGGGTAGGGTTAAGGTTGCACTGTCTCGTGCAGTGACCAACAAACCCTGAAGTATGCCAGATATGAGCTGAGAGTCGGGAAGGTATACCAGACTCATACTGAGGACTCATTAGCATACCAGATACGAGCTGAGGACCAAGTGGTATACCAGACTCATACTGATGGCAAGTCATATATGTTTCAGTTGTAGGACTGCAGGGAGGCAAGCCAGTTGTGCGTTGTGGGCCCGGAAGGCAAGCCATACTCGCACTGTGGGCCCAGAGTGGTAATCCAGTCTGTAGAGCTGTGGACCCATTGCATGCTGTTATTATGTGTGTTGTTTGTTATGTTTCGGTATTTTGGGGGAACTCACTAAACTTCGGGCTTACAGTTTCAGTTTTGGTTCCAGGTACTTCAAAGGATCGCGAAAAGGCAAATGCGTGATCGTACAGCTCCTCACATTTGATGACTATGTTTCTGGGATTCTCCGATATAGAACTATATTGAAAACAAAATTGTAATGACTGTTGGTTTCTAAATGTTTTTAAAAGTTTAAATTTGGTTTGATTTTTATGGATGTTATAAAACACCTAAGACTACGATGTGCTACAATGTTTATTTGGTAAGTGTTGCCGGCGACAACAACACCTCTCAATTTATTTTTTTGCCCGCGTCAGTCATCAACGATACATTCTTGCGAATGGTTTCTTTTTGTTTATTCTTTCTTTCTTCCTCTTACACATTTTTAATTGGTAGACAATAAATGACACCATACCCTATTCATAGGCAAAACATAGTAAAAGTGGTAAAAATTTATGTGTTATGTAACATCAAATTGTGGTCGGTAAAAACATCATCACACCCGTTAACCTACCATCATGTTCCCGAGTTCAACTTAACGAGAGAAAAGAAAGGAAATTAGTGGAAATGAGAAGAAAGTAAAAGAAAATGTTGTTTCCGAGTTTCATCAAAGGAAATGGAATGAAGTGCGGGGAAATGGAAATATCACTTTCCCTTCTAACTTTATTTCCGATTTGGAATGATTTATAAAGAAAGAACAAAATTATTAACTTTCCTTCCACTTCTCTCTAACTCGGAAACATAATTTTGTTTTTCTTTTCTTTTCTGTTGCTTTCTTTTCTTTTATTTACTTTTCTTTGTTTAAACACGGACATAAGAGACTTATTAAATATATTTTTGACCGTATAAAAATTCTATTTTTGACTTTTTGTTATAACTGAGATATGAGGAAAAAAATCTGGACCGTCAAATTAAAAATTTGTAAATAAAATTGAATTGAATGCAACTTAAAATTGTTGCACGTAAGGGACTTTGGCTGTCCCCAGTCAACACGTAGTCTATGGCCGCGGGTATATATAGCATACGCCTTCCCCACCTCCATTAACTCTCACTTTCAGATCTTTCTAGATCCACAGCGAAAAGGGTTCAACAATGGCGTCTGGAACCGCCGGAGACGGGGTATTCGGAAGCGTATTCGGAGGATGCATTTCCAGTGACGACATTGGTATTGAGAGGAGGCCGTACCACCGCAACTGCAGCTGCGCTCTTCATAGATCCGGCGAAACCAATTGCCCTCATACTTCTCATCACAAAGTCTCCTACCCTATCAGAAGATCCTGGAGCGAAGGTTGTCTTGTGGCGATGATGGCATCAAACTCTGCGGCTTCTCCTGGTTCTTCCCCTTGTTGTCCTTCTTCACCGGCGCCGACTGCTCCAGTTACGGCTAGATTGCCGCCGCATGTGCCGAATCATCAGTTAAATCATTAGGCTTTGTGGTATGTTTTAATGTTTGAAGATCTGTTAGGGTTTCTTCTTGTTTTTCGGTTTGGATTGATCGGATCTGTTCGGAAAATCAAATCAAATTAAATCAGGGAATCATGTACATCTTGGACAATTTCTTTGTTTTATTTACTAATCCTGTGAGTTATAGAACTAGTCGATTTTCTCTAATCTTTTTTTTGTGGAACGATCTAATGAATGAATTTTGTTCGTATATTGTTTTGAGTGATTGAGCTTCCTTGTAATTCTTCACAAAATCATCAATCGTTCGATGGTTATACCCTACTTGATTCATTAAGGTTTTTACTTAGTTTTGATGATTAAATTACTGCTGGATTCCACCTACAGGATTATATTACATTTAAATATATGCAATATATTTTTTTGTTTTTTAAATATAAAAAGGAATAAGAATTATATTATAAAAAAACAAATAAAAATAAAAAGGTATATAATAAATATCTGTCGTGAAGGGAAATAACGTGAAGGTTGTTTTCTTGACGAATAAAGCGTGTCACTCCAGCCTAAACCACCTCGAATTCTCCGCGTCTTAGACTGTCATACTTTCTTTTGATTAAATAATTCTTTTGATAAATAAATTCGATTAGGGTGTTGTTAGACACCGGCCGATTATATCATAATCTTATTATATTCTAAAATAAATTTATAATTTATTTCTTATATTGTAGACTTTATAAGAAGCTAATAAGAAGCTAAAAAAATAATATTAAAGCTAATAAGAAGCTAAAAAAATTAAGTAGACTTTATAAACTACAAAGCATAGTAGGAGCAACACACCAATCAAACCAACTTAACTTAACTCTAAGAAATTACCTTTATATTTAGAGGGTTTTGACATTATTTCTAAAATGATTTTTGGACTTTTATAAAAAAGTTAAACTAAGAAATTACCTTTATATTTAGAGGGTTTTGACATTATTTCTAAAATGATTTTTGGACTTTTATAAAAAAGTTAAAATTGTCTGTTTGGTAAGTATAAATATTCTTTTTAAAACAATTTTTTCCTAAGAATAAAAAAATGGTTTTTTAAAAGTCATGAAATGATGTCTTTTTGTGATTTTTGGCTTTTGCACTTAAAAGCAATGTTTTAAAAATCGGTTTGAACCGGCTGGTCGAACCGGTTAGACCGGAAACCGGAGGAGAGAACGGTTCAACTATCATTGATTTTACGTTCATTTCTAAATCGGATTGAACCGACCGGTTTTTAAAAAATCTGGTTGAACCAGTCAAAATAAATCGTTTGAACCGGTTAAACCGAATAAAAACACATGGAAAAGAACCATTTGCATAATCAACTTTGGTGATTTTTTTTTCAAATCTATTTAGTTTTCTTTAAATAAAAACATATGATAAATGTTATAAAGTTTTTTGATGTGTTTGTATTAATCTAAAACTATATTTTGTTTCAGTATTATACTTTTTTTTTGGACGTATATAGATTGATGTAAAATATTAAAACTTATGGTATTCGTTATTTTAATGTATTTGTATTGATCTACAACTTATTTTTATTTATATTTTTAATGTTTGACTTGTAAACATCAAATTCATGATTTATATATGTATGTATGTGTAGAAATAGAAAAAAAAAATTATAAAAACCGGTTGACCCGACGATCGAACCGGCTAAACCGGGAACCGATCACCATACCAGTTCAACTTAAAAACCGGTTTTTAAAACATTACTTAAAAGTCTTAAAAACTAAGTCAAACACATTTTAAAACTTTTTCTTTTAAAAAAGTTCTTTTATAATTCTTTTTACAAAAAGGACTTTTAAGTTTAAAAAGTAATCTCAAACACACTTAATCCAACTTATACCAATACATCAATCAAACCAACTTAACTCTAAGAAATTACCTTTATATTTAATCCAAACTTATATCATTATTCAATGTGTTGATTTACATATCTTTTATATTGGATTTACATACAAACTCTTTTTGATTTTTTTTATTCGATTTAAATATAAATTCCTTTTGATTTGTTTTTTTTTTCTTTTCTTGTTTCTCTTGTTTTTTTTCTTGTCTTATTATTATTATTATTATTATTATTTTATTTAATTATGTTATTTTGTTTTTAATTATTTGTGTTTTAGAAAATATTTTTTATATATAGTTGTATCTTCATTTTTATGAATGATGTTATTCTATGTATTTTTCAATAAAAAAGTTACGATGTAACGTCTAGTTCCTGATATGTATTTAACTTATAAATTATTCATTTTTATAGAGCAACTCGACAAGTTGGAGGCCCAGACTCGTCGAGTAGAGATTATTTGGACCGCATGTTTTGAGAAATCTACTCGACGAGTTGGGAGGCATCAACTCAACGAGTAGGCTGGAAGATATGAAACCTAAATTTCCGGGGTTTGCACCCTATTTAAACACCTTAAGTCCTAAGGTTTAGCCTCATTTCCAGCCTCCAAGTCCCTATACCTTATCCTCGAAAACCCTAAAGCCATTTGAGTGTTTGGGAACCATTTTGAAAGTTTTTGGTGTGTGTTGAAGCCATTGGAAGAAGGACATGCTTGAACACACAAGAATGAGCTTATAGATCCAGAATCCTTGCCTCCTCCACGACATTTTGCTGGTATAAAGCTTGAACCTTGTCTTGTGGTCATTTAGATCTCCATTTTAGAGTTCTTTGCTTGCTTTTGGTCCAAATGATATGATTCTTCGGATTTGGACGTCCCAACTAGAGAATACTTTAGATCTAGAGTCTTGAGGGGTTTTCATGGCATAAAGGTGCCAACTTTATGGCCATGAAAGTCCCATGCAACCTTTGGACCATCATTTTGGCCTTTTGGAGCTTCTAAGGGCCATACATGTAGAAAAAGCTGGGACTTTACGCGATCTTTTAGTCCCTAGAGTCAGGATCTATGACCTCATGGTCTATCTTGTAGTTTTGGTGGCTTTTGGATTAAGACTTTGGCCTTTTTGGGTTAGGGTTTGAGCTTAAACGCTTTAGGAAGGATATTAGTGGGTAAAGTTGGAAACTTTACCCTTCTAGAGGCATTACCAGTCGAGATCTGAAGTATAGAGTTTAGATTCAAAGAACGATGGCTTAATGAGTTAAGAAGAGGCTAATAGACAGAGGAACTCGACGAGTTGACTTGATATGTCCTGATTCTATTTTAAGGAAGAACTCGACGAGTTGGATTGCGATATCACGATTCTATGATTCATGGAAACTCGGCGAGTTGAAGGGTAACTCGACAAGTTGACTCGAAACTTTAACTTTTACTTTGACTTTGACCAAAGTTGACCCTTAAGGGGTTATGAGTATGAAAGAGTACTTAAGGAAATCTTTTATGTTTAGGGGATTGAGTTGGATTGATATTCGGAGCCGAGGACTGTTCAGCTACTTTCCAGTATTCGAGGTGAGTTACCTTCCCGGTAGCAGTGGGTCGAAGGCACCAATGTCGGCCCACTTATTATTGTTTATAGTAAGATGATTGTCTTTGTGATAATTGTGTGGTATGCCACTATCTGTAGAGATTTATGTGCTAGTATGCTATGATATTATGTGATAGTGGTATGGGTAAAATAGACTCTGTAACCGGTTGAAAGAGACTGAAAGGGTAGGCTAGTGCCCAGATATCCTAGGCAGTATGTGTTTTATGTGCTAGGATAATATGTGGTAGTGGTAGGGGTGAAATAGACCCCGTAACCGTTTGAAAGAGACTGAAGGGGTAGGCCATCATCCAAATATGCTCGACAGTACCGGTTGAAAGAGACCGAAGGGATTGAGACATACCCAGTACCGGTTGAAAGAGACCGAAGGGGTTGAAATATACCCAATACCGGTTGAAAGAGACCGAAGGGGCTGCAAGCACCCAGATATGCTTGATTGTTATGTATGTATGTGGTATGATGGGGGAACTCACTAAGCTTTGTGCTTATTGTTTTAAGTTTTGGTTTCAGGTACTTCTTCTTCGAAAGGAAAGGAGTTGGCATGATCGCAGCGCATCACACTATGGTTTTCCGCATTATGGGATCTTTGGGAGTTGTACTCTGACATTATTTTCTTATGACATGTTTTGGTTATTGACGTATGGGTTTTGATTATTATATGGGATGACAGTATCGATGTTTTCAGACTACTGGTTGTTATATTTACTTAATTAAAAACAAAATTTTTGGTCATGGATTTTCTAAAACTAAAATTAAGGGTTTTTGATGAAGAATAAGGAGTGTGATGTGTGCAATCGGCCGAGATCAAGTAAGTTTTCCCAAGATACCACATATGTTTATTATGATATATGATATGGATATGAGACTTGCATTCTAGATTAGGGGTAAGGATATAGGAAGGACGCCTTGTATGCCTACTGTATGTCCTTATTGAACTTCATGCTAGTACTGATTAGTCAGTGATATGATGGCCTGATTAGGATATGCTTGGTTTTGGTTACTCAATGATCGAATGTTGCTTGCTTTGTGCTTTTAGGAGTTCTAGTTATCTTTAACTAACTAGTAAACAAATACGCTAAGTTACATATTACGAGGACAAAATAATTTCAGAAGGCTAGGATTAGCCCTACTGCGCAGCTCTTGTTTGAGTCCAACCGTTGTAGGGAGAGACCTCTCATTCGAAGAATTATCTGGTCTTAATAGTATGTAATGGTATTCGTAAGCTAATTAGGGGGAGATAGCAGGGATTTCTTATGCAACTAATGGCGGAGAGTGGATTGGAGATTACCCTAGGGTAAGCCTAGGATGAGATTAGTGACAAGAATTATTTGATTGAGAATTATATTTATTGATAGGAAGCGGCTATGGTGACCCAAGGCAAACCAGGAGGAAAGTACGGATAGATGTGGAAGGTAGTATGGGCCCGTACTACTGAAAGCAGAGGATCCGTACTTGACTCTTGGGGAACTGCGGAAAACCAAGAGTGGCAGAGTGTGAGACCTCTCGATGATTATGTATGACCCTGACGATTGTATGGTTTGTTTCAGAATGGT